TTGCTGACGGTTGATGGGATCACTATGTGAGTAATGCTGAGGTCAGACGAAGGATACCAGGCAAAAAAGTAAATCACTCAAAGTGGTTGCTAACCTTCATTGACTGAGGTGGCTTGAATATGTACTGGTTATACCAAGTTATCGCCTATCTCGAAGTGCACCCGAAGACGAACCTAATATAACAGGTGGGAAGAGGTTTCACGGTGGCCAAATCAAGACGTGGCACCAGCGCATTAAACCCCTGAATCTACTTCTGAGTTGTGTACGGGGGTTGTAGATTAGCCAACTCGGATCCACAAGACGACAGGAATCACTGGTTGCGGACTCTTGGTGAAATGCCTTAAAATCCCTCTTCTCTCATACACGTTTGTCTACTTTGATATCAATGTTTTCCTATTCACTTGTTCTTTGTATACTACTGTGAAATATGGTAGCTTAAACCAATCCACTTATGTACGAAGTTCTATGTTGAATTTGTTTGTTCATCTGTTTGACCATCCGGCTGTATTGAAGATTATGGAAGATCTAAATAGTCAAAGTATATTTGTCCCTTCAGTTTTTGCTTCCTGAAAAAAATAGCTCTAAGTGTAAATATACATTGTTAAATGATGAATCATTCCACAATCAGTTCTTTGAAGCTGATCTAAATCCACCAGTCAATATGTGCTGTTAATTCACATAACACAACAATCAGCTTATGTAATATTAGTTATGCTGTTTCTTGTGACTAGTCAAACCGATTACAACGCCTTCATATTGCCTACTTCCGAGTATCAAATGTCATCACGTTCAAAACTTATACGTGATGTTAACTGTGAAAATGTAACAAATAATATCTAGATTATTCATTCTGAAGTTCATTCAACAGATTTCATTAAAGCTGAATACTTATTCATCTAACAGCAGTCAAATACTTATATCGATAGCTCTAAAAACTAAAGTACTATTGAGCTGAAGTGCAAATTTTATTGATTATCTGTCAGAAATAATTCATTTTATTTCGTTACAGCTATATTGTGCTGGTTTCAAGAATAACAAATCATGTGAGGATCAAATTGAAACACTACGCAACGCTACACAACACATCATCATACAACAGAGTATAGAATGACAGTCAACTCTCTACCTCTACTCAACTTCATCGATTCTGAAAAGTCCTTGGATAGCGTTGGCCAAAGGAGTAATTTGACAGTCAGCTGCTTCAACAAGATGGTTTTAGTGCCACAAATGTTTGTCAACAATATTCAACAGCTATACACAATACGATGAGGCTACATGCCTGGTTAACTAGTTCACTAGTGACTAGCCGGTCCTAAACTCGGGTAAAGAGGGAAGGTTGGGTGTAGAGCTAGCAACCCATCCCATAAAACAAATCCAATCGCTAAAGAAACTTCAAAGCATAAACAGAATATAAAAAATAAAAACAAACTTATTCCTCACTGGAATCGGAAAGGTGAAATGACGCCGTTTGGTGAAACCCTTCGGGAAGCCAATTGGCCGATGTGTCTTCGCTTCTCTCGATGAAAGCGAAAGTAAGCATGAGGACATGGAATGTCCGCATAATGTTTGAACCTACCAAGGCTCTCTAGATTTCAAAGGAGATGAGAAAGTATCGCACTGAAGTGTTAGGAATTTGCGACAGCAGATGGGATGGAAGTGGACTCTCCAAACTGTCAACTGAAGAGGAGTCAATAATCTACTCCGATATTGTCACCAAAACGACAACCACGAGCACAGTACACACAGTTCTCGACTGGCTATCATGATGTCCACCCCACAAGAGCATCGAAGCCTCACTCTCATGCAGTGGAAACTAATCTTCTCAACGATCACGATCATAACAGCAAGGTTCAACTCAAAAGGAAGGAAGGTCACAATCATATAATGCTATGCACCTACAAATAAAGCAGAGCAAGACAAAAAGGAGGAATTCTACAGGCAACTGCAATCAGCACTGGACAAGACCACACCACAGTTGGTGACATCAAAATTCTAATGGGTGGGGTGTGGTGACATGAATGCCAGCCGAACTGGGAGCGGACAACACAAGAAGAGAACTAACCATGGGTCAAGAGGCGCTCGGTGAAGTGATGAATAAGAATGGAGGATTGTTTGCAGAATTCTGTGCATTCAACGACTTGGTGATTGGAGTCAGGCACTGTGTTCAAGCACAGTGATATCCACAAAGCAACATGGATTTGATTTCACCAGACACTAGGACAGGACACACTAAAAATCAGATCGACTTCATCTCAATCTAACGAAAGTGGAGACACAGCCTACTTGACACAAGGTCAAGAAGAGGAGCAGATGTAAGTTAATACCACTCACTGTCTAGTGCAAGTAACCTTCCAAATCAAGTTGAAAGCTTTCAATGAAGCTGGTGATAGACCTCAGTTCAAGTACAACACTCGGAAACTGAAGGACGAAACTATACAGAAAATCTTCACGTCAGTCAGCCATCAAGACAAAATGGGAGATGTCGAGCAGCATCCTTGAAGAAACCTGTGTGGATGAACACTGGAACTCTTTGAAAGCTATGTAGAAAGAAACCTGCATAACCGTATTAGGAAGGAGGAAGAAAGAAGATAAGACAAGACAAGGAATGGATCTGGACGGACACAGGGAAGCTGGTAGAGGAGGGAGAGTAAGGTGGTGATGGTAAAGCAGATAGTTAGCCAGTGCAAGGATGAACGGCGAGAAGAGGAACTGAGTACAATGTATAAAACACTAAACTGGACAAAGAAATGAAGAAGAGTGCGCGAAAAGACAAAAGACACTTCTACGAAACACTGGCAAGTGAAGCAGAACAGGCTGCAGGTAGGAGAGATAGAGACCTGACAACATGATATCAAATAACCAGGTTACTATCTGGGAGGGAAGAGATCAACACAGGTTAAAGCAATACAAGATGATGAAGGAAATCTAATTACCAAAGAAGAGAAACAAAGGAAACGATGGGTCGACCACTTCAAAAAGTTCTTGAATCGACCACCACCTGCACTTCGTCCAGAAATACCACCAGCAGCCCAGCCACAGAACTACAAGTGAACACAAATCCTCAGACAAAAGTCGAAGTCCTGAACACCATAAAGTTGCTGGAATGAGGGAATGCAGCAAGATCAGATGGAATCCTGCCAGAAGCACTGAGAACAGACTCAGGGACAATACTGGACATGCTTACATCACTATTGCAAAAGGTCTGGAAGGAGGGAAGGGTAGCTTCCAACTGATTGGAAGAAGGGTTACCTTGTCAAACTCTTTAAGAAGGACGATTTATTTTTTTTGCAAGAACTGACATGGAATCACGCTCCTGTCCACCTCAAGCAAAATATTAAGTCGCATCATCCTGGAGAGACTGAAGAATGCGCTGGATTCAAAACTACGACCGAAATAGGCTGGACTCAAGAAGTATATATCATGTGCGGATCAAATTGCAACGCTTCGCATCATCATACAACAGGGTATAGAATGGCAGTCAACTCTCTACATCACCTCAACTTCATCTACTTTGAGAAGGCCTTTGACAGCATCAACCAAGAAGTTATTTGACAGGCAGCTGCTTCAACAATACGGAATAACACACACCTTTATCAATCTCATTCAACAAATATATGAAGACGCCACATGCCAGCCAAGTAATTCACAATGGGAAGCTCAGTGATGCCTCTGAAGTGAAGTGAAGACAGGAGTAAGACAAGGTTGCTGCCTACTATCACCCATGATATTCTTGATTGTAGTGGACTGGATCATGCAGCAGACAACAGTGAGGAGTGAGAAGAGGGGGATACGCTGGGTGGACTGGGGAAAAGATCCTAGAAGATTTGGATTTCGCCACCGATGACTTGTGTCTAATGTCACATAAACTTGAAGATCTAGAGGCGAAAACTAACAAGTTGACAGAAGAGGTGGGGCAGCGCAGTGTGGCGCAGGGCAGGGCAGCGAAGATGGGACTTCAAGTGAACGTGAATGTAGAGAAGACAGAGGTGGAGGTGATGAAGATACCCAACCAATGCCACCAACACCACCACCAACAACAACAAACTCGAATAACCATCAACGGGAGAAACTTAAAGGAAGTAACCTCCTTCACCTACATAGGCAGCACTGTTTCAACTACAGGCGGCACAGGCACAGACGAGGATGTCAAAGTCAGGATCGGAAAGACAGCAAGACTGGCATTCATTAACCTGAAACCAGTGTGGAGATCTTCTCCACTGCACTCAACATGTAGAACAACATCCGGATTTTCAACACCAACGTCAAGTCAATGCTCATATATGGTTCAGAAACTTGGCGCCTTACGAAAGGCATTTCCAACAAACTGTAGATATACATCAACAACTGCCTACGTTGGCTCGTTACTGAAGCTCAGATGGATTGTCAGAAAGAACAAGCAACAAGGAACTCTGTTATGACAACGAACCAACCATGAACCTAGCACTCAACAAACATACACTGGAAGGGAGTGGAGATGGATTGGATTGGGCATACGCTGAGAAGGCCGACTGAGTACATCACGCGTCAGGCCAGGCACTCGAGTGGAACCCATATGGGAAGCGACGAGTTGGGTGTTCGAGGTGACGGTGACATGGAGGAGATCGTGCGGGGAAGAAATGAGAGGTTATGGACAGTTGTGGATTCAGGTTGAAAATACTGCAGAGAATATAGTGAAATATTGACGTGCTACTTATGCTGTATGTTCCACTGGGAACCCAAATAATAACAGCTATATTGTAACTCGTCATATTGTTAGGGTTGACTACAGAAGTGTGATAAGAACCACTTTTTTTCTAGTATTTTGCACTACGAGTAGCGATAAAGGCTGGGACACAGGAAGGAATGTTGATTATGACATCTTTTACAGTAGTCATCATCTGCCAACCTCTCAACATACTACTTATGTCCATTCTTATCAGCAGCACCCACTAGAGTACCATTAAGATTTCATTTCATATATACTACAGTGTACAGTGAACAGTAAAAACACTTTTTTCTTTATATGAAATATCTTATGATCAAATTGTATATCTTATGTACATTAATCTCATTATATGGATGAAGATATGATCAAAATTAAATGTAACAACTAAAAAGTGATTTATCTTTAAAAAGTTAACAACAAATTTGTTTAAAATGAAATAGGTTGAAGTATGACCTTCATAATAATGAGATAAACTATTTTATAGTTTTGATGCAGACATTGAGTTGAACTCTGATTTCTTTAGAAAATGCTAATATGATTTAACTAATGGAGCTTCAATTACCAAGGTGTTTCCAACCATTTGTGAGGTGACTGACAATGGATCAACTGTTTGTGGAATTTCATATGAATGAGAAAATTCACCACATGGTGATTGCTTTGTCCAACGAACACCACCATTCTCTGAATGTCTACCAGAGACTACTAGACGATTGGAGTCAACATTGATGCATAAATCATCGGATTTGTACATTGGATCAACTGGAATTTCAACATGCAGTCTTTTACCCTTCCCACCAACTTCATCAATTATTGTTGGACCAGTAACACCTATTGACAATTAAGAAATATAAAAAAATACAAGAAATACATCTCAAAAATACATTACTGTATAGTGCTCAGTAGTGATATGCTTCCAGATGGATATCTTGAAGGTTACTTGAGAAGCTGTGACCTGTGGGGTCAACCAATCAGAAGTGAAACGGATACCAACAGAAGACTTTGGATGATAACCACACTATGTCGGAATTTGACAAAGGTTTGAAATTGTGAACCAATGAACTGCGACCCAGTAGCTGAGTGGTTCACTCACTCACCGCGAAACCTGAAGGTCCCGAATTCGATCCTCAGGCGGGTCGTAGATGCGTACTGCTGAGGAGTCCCATACTAAGACGAAACAGTTTTCCAGCGCTCTCAGGTTCCCTATGGTCCCCCTCTCACTTAAAATCCCTATTCATCTTTTTAATTGAGGTAATAAACTGTTTGTTTTTTGCTTTAATTAAAAATATCTCACCTTTCACAACTAATGCTTTTGTCGGTGTTAAGCGCCCACTTTGAATATCTGACTTTGGTCGAATGGCAAGTTGATGTCGATTGTTAAATGTAACTGATTTGCGATCAGCATTTTTCAATGGAGCTTCTAACATTAAAACACCATCCTAAAACCAGAAATTAAAATAACAGTTTACTGAATTGTCGACGTTACAATTTTTAAAGGTGTTCAATAGTATTCACAGCTTTGAGGTGGATTTAAAATGTATCCATATGATTCAAGATATGATGATATAAAATTAAACTAAACAATCACGTATAAATTAGTGAATTAGACTGTTTCCTTCGGTAACAGATCATTTACTTTATCCGATTAGCCACAATTCTAGTTGTTTAAAACAGAAATAAAGTGAGGAAATGTGTTAGAAAATTATTTCTAAGAAATGATCAAAGTTTATATTTCCTAATCACATTTATAGTACCACTTACATTTGTTAAGTGACATTCCAGTTTTGTTTGTTCAATTGATTGTGGAAGCTCAATCATGCGACAGAATTGACGAGAACTTTTTGATGTATCAGTTTGTGTCATTTTCTTTGCACTTACAACTACACGATTGTCTGTTGTACTCACATTAATATCTTCTGGTGAGAAACCTTTCACATCAAATCTAACCTTAAAATGTACCTGTAAAGTAAATATATTTTAAAAATAATGTCAGTCAGGCATAAAGAACTAGTATGATTATCTTGACTTGAAAGAATCTTAATCATAACCTACCTTTCCATCTTTACCAACTTCATAGGCATCCTTCAAGAAATCATTGAATGAATCAGTAAATGGAGGATCAGATATACCCATTCGCCTGCGAAATTCTTGCATACGTTGTTCCATTTGATTCATCAAAGTATACGGATCAAATTTGGCATCGAATGCACTCCAACTCTTCAGATCAAAATCATCCAGAGGCTGAAATTTCAACAAATGTCAAGCAATAACATATGTATACGTAGAACTTTATAGTATTATGGATAAATATAACGTACTGTGAATAGAAAACTGCAGTTACTTAGTAAAACAGACGAGTCAATCGACTAAATTCCCCACTGTGATATCTCGTTGCTGCAACATAATGAATTGATCGTGAGAAAGCTAACGAAAGTTAAGCAGGAAATACACCGATCTACAAAGTATGGTGGGGAGAAAGCCTGATGATCGTGAGACAGTTACTCAACGACGATATTGGGTGGCGGTTGCGCTATATCGTGAGCTAGCAGAAGTTGGAAATATGGACTATTGGATTCTGACCCAGTGGCTCAATGGTAACGTGCTAGCCACGGAACCTGAAGGTCGCGGGTTCGATCCCTGGCGTGATCGTGGGTGTGCACTGCTAAGGAGTCCCATACTAGGATGAAGAGGCTGTCCAGTGCTCCCAGGTTTCCATTGTTCCTCCAAATGATGTCAGTTTACGATGAATAACAACTTGAAAAGTTTGTAACTGTCCATTTGAGTAGTAGTCCATCTGGTTTGAGTACTATAAAGGCCAAAAAAAGTAATAGTCAATGATTTTTGATGATATGATTTGTAACGATGATGGCGTGTTTATAACTGTTGGTTTTCTCGGAATTCTCCATTTCTTATTGTTCTCTATCTCTCATCTCATATCTATTGTCTTCTCTATTTTTCTACACTCTTAGTTTCGGTAATAGTACTTAGTTTGGTGATACAATATGAAGTGATAGATAGATTTCCAATAAATTTCTGTATTGTAATGTATACTTAAAGACAGTTAGGTACTTACAAGGTTATTAACCTGAAATTTATGGTAAATACACCGAAATTAATCAGTCGAAATATTATATTTTTAACAATATAGTTATAGATGAGGCATATACAAATTCTGATCCACAAATATATGAGTTTGACTATCTGAGATAGCTGTAGTTTGACAGACTTATAATGTGATCGCTGGTTCGAACCTTACCGTAGATGAAATTTTCATTTCACTACATTTAGGCATAACTTAGCATGATGTAAATAGTAATATAATTAGCTTCAATACAACTGATTTATATCTTTACTGTTCAACTGTTAGTTGAACAAAAGTAACATACAATTGTTCATTATTCAATACATTTTCACGTCAAATCAGCTACAGTGAACCTACTAAAAGTGATAACTCTCTAAGTCCGACTAGATTTCCATGAATTGGCTATGACACACTTGAAGTAGTCCCCTTGTATTATGATTAGCAGTGGTAATTCAAAGAAAATGCACATTTTTATCACACTGACTGTTACAAGTTTGAAAAAATAAAAAAATTCAAGGTAGCAAAATGGAATATATTTTGTGTTTCAAAAACATTTCTAAAGACTTCAGTATGCATACACGCGGTTTACATAATCAAAAGGTGGTAAAGTTAACTTTACTTTGGAAATACTTTAATGAAATGTTATTTCGAAGTGAGTCACTTGATAAGATTGCTGACCTTCACGATTTAGATGTTGCCCATACCTGATCAACGTCTACCTGAGATATGGTAGAACTAGCCGCAGTAGGATTAGGGAGTGGAGAAGTTAAAGGCGGTACAACTAAAATGTATCAGGTTGTAGTCTACGAAACCGAGGGTAGTATGTTTCGGAAATGATCACAGTAGTGCAGATAAGTCCACACGCTACCTTTATCCTAATTCCTACATCACATCACGTTATTTAATTTACCTCACTATTCTCTTTATGTTTTATTACTTTCTACGATCTTTGTTCACATTTTTCTTCTATCTCTGTGGCCGTCATCTTAGTCACTTACATCTTGGTGTGCTGATGTAATGTGTAGCAACTTGGAACGTTACACAGTAATACTGAATTTCAAGACTATCAATATCGGTGACTTTGAATAATACGAACAAATAGTTTATGCTTTATTTCTTAGACCATCTGATAAAGTCTTGTTTATCATTTTGGCTATCTGAGATACCCACGGTTTGGCAGACTAGTGTTGATATTGGGTGATGATTGAAATGAAAATTTCAACCGCAGCTGGATTCGAACCAGTAACCACCAGATTTCTAGCCTGATGCTCTATCACTTTCGACTTAATGGCTCAGTTGTAGAGCATCAAGTCAGAAATCCAGTGGTTGCTGGTTTGAATCTGGCCACGGTCCAAATTTTCATTTCACCTTCAGTCATCACCCAGTATCAAAGTTTTGTTTGTCAGACCAATCTTAATTCAGAGAGGTTACTGTTAAAACATGATAGTGGCTGTTCTGAATCAGTCCATTCACCTTTTTCTGCTTTATCTTTCAGTAATTAACTGAATAACACATTAATCTCAACTTATTTTTTGAATCAATAACACACTAACATACCATTAACTGGAACATTCCACGTCGTATTCTCTCCATTTCATCATCCCAACGATTCCAAGATGATTTAATCCAATTGTCTACTTTACTGAACCAATCATCAGGATGATTTGGTACAATAGAATTGAAATGTTTCCCATCTTCTAAACCTTTAAAAAAATCTTTTCGATGCTGTTCAAATGTTCTAGTATCACGATTCACAGGAATAGCAATTGCTCGATCTTTTGACATATTCACTTGTAGAACAGTTACAACAAATATGACACTATAAAATAAATTGAATGTTATGAGTAAATAGATTTATACTATTAGAATAATTTGAAGTTATTTGTAATAATTTATTCTGTTCTCTTGTACTTTAATACAAGTGTGCATATAACTATAATATCCAATAGATATTCACCGAAGTCACGTTATCAATCAGTTGATGTATTGATTTTTTCTTGATCAATTTGCATGCGAGAAGTGAGAAGGTAAATGTTGCAAGAATCGCTGAAACTGGCGTTTGATTATTTCTGTTCAATTATCAATCAATCTTATTTGTTAAATTAAGAAAGATTTTTGAAAGGATTAAGTGACTGATAATAAATACTCAGATGATACTAACACCATGAATACGACTAGTGGCTGTTCTTTCTCAGAACCCTGTACTTCATTGCACTACTAGGTTCAAAGTTAAATAGCTTATTTTGATTGGCTAATTGTTGGATAAATTGTCCAATAAGGTATTTTTCCTGACCACACAGTGACATGGAACTGAAATCTAGAACTACTAACTTAGTGGTTGATGACTAAAAATGTTGATTTCCTATCAGTTCTGTTCTGTAAAAATACCCTTATGATTATAGGTAGCAACCAATTTCATGTTGTCTAGTCCTGAGTGATGACCAACTTTTGTTCATCCATTTGTGGTGTGGCCACCAAGCTAAGACGCTCACCATCATGGTGCACTTTCATAGACATAAGTTTAGCAGCAGGCAATTGTCAGGAACCCCTGCTCGACATAATTTTTATGCTTGGCTAGACCAAGACCTAACAACAGTCGATGAAGTCTCTCACTACTGGCTTGAGCCGTGTAGGGAGATGCAGACTGCCTACTTGGGGTCTTCGAGACAAAAGGAATCATGGTTGAAAACTCTTGGTGATATGGCTGGAAATCGGTCACAATCCCGTAGATGTATTTACTCCATGATATCTAAAGCTCAAATACTCACGCTAAACTGCATTCCCTCATACTACTTTATCTACTTTGATATCGCTCCTTTTCTATCCATTTGTTCCTTGTGTATTTCTGGGAAGTGTAGCAACTTGTTTATGAGGTTCTACGTTGATTTTACCATTCAGTTGGTGATACTCATCAATAAGATGCATCTACACTCTCTATGGAACTAATATGCCCTTTAACTGACTGATTTTAATACTGAGTGACACAGTTTAGAGTCTCACAAAAGATACTAGTTCCCTTGATGTTGTAGATATGTTTTGCTGACGAGTGTCAAAAGGTACGAAGTCGGTGTTCACACAATTTTTCAAGCTTTGGTTAGATGCGTGAATTGAAGTATTAGTGTAAAAGCATGACTAATTGTCAGATTTCCAAAATGAAACTGATAATGAACAGAAACTGACTGAGAAGTTAAAGTCAAAGCACACAAATGAATGAACACATCTTGAACCGAAAAAGTGTTTTTTGCTGAAAATCAAATACAAAAATGATATTTCTGTGGATATCCTCAAAAATGACTATCATGACCTTTAAATAGAACATATTTCCCTGCTAGCCATCGAATCATTTTCTCCTGCAAAAAACGTTTTGGTTAATATGTCAAAGATAATCTGATGCAGAGGTTTACACATATTTGATCCTGTGAAAGTGAGTACATTGGTCGTACCATGCGTCCACTTGTAAAATATGCTCAACAACGCTAATCAGCCTGACAAGGGAATGGATAATCAACTCAATAACTGAACACCTTGTGAATTCAAGTCATTCAGCTTCTTTTGAGAACTTTTTCAAAATCCTCTACAGGGTTTGATCAAATCACTCAAAGAGAGTGAGATCAAAGTACTTGGATATAGCTGAAGCACTAGTCATTCAGAAGTTTAAATCAGTGTTGTGTCCAAAAAAGGTACGTTCAACCGTTGTCATCCTAAAGACTTGACTGTCCTAGATAAATCCCGTACTGCGTAATTATATTTAGTTATTTTGATAATCCCTTGTTTATTTTCCTACTCTTAACCCTATTTTCATCAATTAAATTCTTTTCGTGATCTTACATATTTCGTCTCTAACCGAAAACTACTCTTGAATGTTGCATCCTTTGTACTATATCTTCATGAACGTACAGCTAAATAGATGATATTGTTTCAAAGAAAATCTTTTCTTTGCTGCAACTCTTTTTCAGTCTTTTCCTATGATCAAATGGGTATATTCCACAACTTAAATATTAATAAACCAACCGTATGCTTCCCATGAGGAAGTATTGATATTTAGTAAGGCGAGACTAACAAAACCAGATCAGTCGATTCGAGATAAATATATTCAGATCAAGAGTTTACTCCCTTCAAAGTAGGCTTTCTAATTGAAATAGTGGAAAATATTTGTAGCTCAGATGATCAAACCAAAAATTTGGATTCGCCATGTTGAACGACGAGGTGATGGTGATACCCAACCAACGCCACCAACACCACCACCACCAACAACAACAAGCTCGAATAATCATCAACGAGATAAACTTAAAAGAAGTAGTCTGTTTCACCTATCTAGGCAGCATCGTTTCAACTGCAGGCGGCACAGGCACAGACGAGGATGTCAAAACCAGGATCGGAAAGACAGCAAGACTGGCTTTCAGTAACCTGAAACCAGTGTGGAGATCTACTGCACTGCACTCAGCATAAAGCCTGAACAAGATCCAGATTTTCAACATTAATTCAGTCAAGTGAGTCAGTACTTCTATGTGGTGGTTCACAGACTTGATATGTTGCGAAAGGCATTTCCAACAAACTACAGACATTCATCAACAACTGCCTACACTGGCTCGTTACTGAAGCTCAGATGGCCAGAATAATAAGAATAAGCAACGAGGAACTCACTCTGGTGACGAACCAACCAAGAAGCTATAGTTCAACAAACATGCAGAAGGAAAGTGGAGATGGATTGGACTGTACATCCACTGAGAAGACCATTCGGGGACATTACGCGCCAGGCCAGGCATTCGAGTGGAACCCAGATGGGAAACGACGAGTTGGGTGTCCGAGGCGAGAGTGACATGTAGGAGATGGTGTGAGGAGGAAATGAAAGTTTATGGGCACTGGTGGAGCCGGGTTCAAAAGATTCCAGAGAATAGAGTGGAACTGAGACGTGCTACTGAAGCCCTATGTTCCACAAGGAACATAAGGGACAAATAAATAATCAATGAAAAAAATAATAATGTAGACGACACTCTTGTCATCATTAAGTAGGATAATATATAAAACACTCACAGTTTGATTAACAACGTTTTCAGTGACATCAAATTCACAATGGAGAAGAATTCAAACAACCAACTAACATTCCTGGATGTTTTAGTCAATAGGACAAATGTCGGAAAGCTGGAAACCCAAGTGTACAGGAAGCCAACACACACTGACCAAATCCTCAACTACAATAGCAACAACACACAAAATCAGTTGCGTGCACACTCTTTTGAAAAGAGCGAGAACACACTGCAGCACAACAACTTCACAGAGAAACGAAGAAAATTACTTGATGTCCACTTTAAAAACGAACAGCTACCCACGGTACTTTATCAGAAGATGACGTTCCCGTACATCATCAACTATAAAGTCATCAACAGAAATCAATAAACGTATCATCCTACCATTCATAAAGAGTATATCAGAAATCATGACAAGATTACTGAGACCACTTGGTGGAATTGGTGTGGCTCATAAACTAACAAATTCCCTCCAAACACTATTATGCAGACCGAAGGATGCAACAACCAAAGAAGACAAACCGAATATCATTTACAAAATCAACTGCAATAACTGTGGTCAACACTACATTGGACACGGTGGTCACCCTCTTCGCCTTCGTCTACATGAGAACCAATCGGCTATTAAACATCACGACATTTCATCATTCATTTCAATGTACGTGGATAACAACTATGGACATAAATTCAATTTTGACAATGTAGAAATTTTTGATAGAGGAAACACAAAGAATATCACAGCAAGCTACTAAATCACTCATGGAGAGATATTGATAGCTCACTTTACACTGAAGTTGTTGCTGATGTTGTTGTCTAGAAAGACGAGGGAAGCTTAAAGATTAAACCATCCAGCTCAGAGAAAACAACCCAACCAAGAATTTCTAATTGTTAATTGGTTGCACACTTGTTGTCATTCGTTGGTGATGCGTATCTACAACCTCGACGGATCTGAGATCCTGTCTGCGATTCAAACCCACCTCATTGAGTGTTTCACCGAGAGATGTAACCACTAAGCTATTTAGGCCGCAACTGACCTCCTGTAGGACTGGATTAGATACATTCATTAGGTAGTAGAGAGTAACTAATTTCATGTTATCTAGTGTTGAGTATTGCCCAAATTCTCTGGATCATTTTGTAAAATAGTCACGAAGCTAGGATGCTTAGTATCTAAATGTTAGGCAGACATTAGGCTGTATAATTTAATTGTGGAAGGTATAAATGACTAGCTAAATGACTAGCCATCTGAGTGAACAATAGTTATCGATTAATTCAAAGACAGAAAGTCAATGTGTAGGGAGTATTAGATGCGTAATCACACTTATCATTGAACCGGAAAGTTCAACTGATACACAGCAGATAGATGAAGTAATGGCATGATATCTGTGTGTGTATAAAACCTACCACACGAATCACATAGCTAACATTTGGAGAACTCATTTTTTAATAATATTTTATTTTACTCTATTTACACTGAAGTTTGACTAAGTTACCAATTAGATTCAATTGTCAACAGACTAAGTTTCTCAGATCACATATTTTTTTGATAGTTAACTTATCATTACTGCTTCACTTAAGCAATAATATTATCTCACTTCATTCTGAAACGATCAGATGTGATCACAGTCAAGATTTCATTCTAACAGGCTAAATCTCATTATTATTATTATTTGTCCCTTGGGTTGCTAGTGGAACATACAGCATAAGTAGCGCGACTCCATTGCACTCTCTTCTCTAAAGCATTTTCAACCTGGATTCACAACTGCACATAACCTCTCTTTCTTCATCACACAATCTCCTCCATGTCACCCTCGACTCAAACGCCCAACTCGCCGTTTCCCACTTAGACTCCACTCGAGGGTCTGTCCTGACACCTGATGTCCCCAAATGGTCTTCTCAGTGTATGTCCAATCCAATCCATCTCCACTTTATTCCTCTGCATATTTGTTGGACGACAGCTTCTTGGTTGGTTCGTTCGCAGGCCACACTGAGTTCCTTGTTGATGTTTCTTATTATTACCGTCATCTCATCTCATCTCATCTCATCTTCAGTGTCAGTATCGAGTGAGTGTAGGAGGTAGATGTTGATGATGTATGTGTGGAGTTTGTTGGAAATGCTTATCATAAATCACCACCAGGTCTCTCAACCATCACATGGAAGGAATGACTCACTTGACTGATTAGTGTTGAAAGTCGGAATGTTGTTCACGCTTTATGCTGAGTGGAGTGAAGTGAAGTGAATTAGTTCTCCACACTGATATCAGATTAATGCATGAAGGCCTGTTTTGCTGTCTTTCCGATCCTGGCTGTTTTGACATCCTCATCTGTGCCACCACAGACGCCTGTAGTTGAGACGATGCTGCCTTACCTTACCTTGACTATGCAGGTAGGTGGGTGGAAGAGACTACTTCCTTCACATTTCTCCTGTTGATGGTGATTGATGCTTCTTGTTGTTGTTGTTGTTGTTGTTGGTTGGCTATCTTCATCACCTCCACCTCTGTCTTCTCTACCTTCACCTTCACCTGAAGGAAGTCCTATCTTCCTTCTCTGCCTCACCTCTTCTGACAACTCTTTGGATTTTCCATGTACATCTTCGAGTTTGTGAGACAAGACATTAGACATAAATCATCATCATCATCATCATCGGAGGCAAAATTCAAATCCTCCTCTGGGGTCTTCTCATCGTTCCAGTCAGTGTATGCCCATCTTCTCAAAGATCCCCACACTTGTCTATTGCATGGTCCAGTTCAGTCGAGTCCAGTCCAGTTCAGTCGAGCAGAGTCGACCACAATTAGGAAGATGATTGGCGATAGTAGGCGGCAATCTTGTCTTACTGCCATCTTTGCTGCCACTCCATTGGCATCACTGAGCTTCCCATTGTGTTATGAATTACTTGGCATTTAGTCTCATCATATTGCGTATAGCTGTTGAATATGGTTGATAAACATTTGTGGCACTGAAACCATCGTGTTGAAGTAGCTGCCTGTCAAATTACTTCTGGGTCAACGCTATCCAAGGACTTTTCAAAACCAATCAAGTTGAGGTGAGGTAAAGACATGACTGCCATTCTATGACATTGATGTGATTCTGAGCAGTAGTTTATCGTCGAATCGTCATCAAGTAAATAATGCTATATCGGTGTGTGTTATAAACCAAATAAACAAATCTAATATAGAATTAAATTCTATCACAGTGACCAAGTTTTACACCTAATTCTATGCTCTGTTCTATGATGATGTGTAGCGTAGCGTTGCAGTTTTATCCCTACATAATTTGTTCTTCCTGAATACAGCCAGTTCCGGTCGTAATTTTGAATCCGGCGCATTTTATTGTCTCTCCAGGATGGTGTGGCTAAATATTTTGCTTACTTTGGGTGGTCAGGAGTAGGTTTCCATCCCAGTTCCTACTCTTGCAAAGACTTAGATCACCCTTCTTTGAGTGTTTGACAAGGTAGCCCTTCTAATCAATCGGCACGTACCTTTCCTTCCTTCTTTACAAACCTTCTGCAACAGAAGTGGTGTGTCATGTCCGCTGTTGTCCTGAGTCTATTTTCAGTGCTTCTGGAGGAATTCCATCTGGTCCTGCTGCTTTCCCGGCTTTCAGGACTTTACTTCCGCTATTGTCTCAAGGCTTGTGTTCATTGACAGTTTTGTGGCTGGACTGCTGGTGATATTTCTGAACGAGATGCAGGTGGTGGGTTACATCTCAAGCAATCTTTAAATATCTTACAAAAAGTAGGTTTGATGAAATATTGAAATCGTTATACAAATAGAAAGATTTTCCGTAATAAAACAGCCAACAACAATCATATTTGAGTTTAAGCTAATCGAACGTTGTGATCATTGCTTTCTAAAAGTCAAATTTTCTCACTATATCATTGACTATTTCAAGATGATGAAAAAATGAAACGACTGCAGTCAAGTACATACAAGAGCTTTAAAAATTCCCATCAAGACATATATTTGTGAACAATATTGTTTACAATTAGATCCTATTCACGCTTTACTCTGATAAAAAATACCTTGATATATACATAAAAATTTAACCAATCATGTAGATTTCTCGATTAATGTGATGAATGTGTCAAAACAACAATGGTCATGATAATAATACAAATAATAAGAGTGATAAAGTTGACTAAACCACTTGCAATATAGATGATGATGATGATGATGATGATGATGATGATGATGATGATGATGATGATGATGATGATGATGATGATGATGATGATGATGATGATGATGATGATGATGATGATGATGATGATGATGATGATGATGATGATGATGATGATGATGATGATGATGATGATGATGATGATGATGATGATGATGATGATGATGATGATGATGATGATGATGATGATGATGATGATGATGATGATGATGATGATGATGATGATGATGATGATGATGATGATGATGATGATGATGATGATGATGATGATGATGATGATGATGATGATGATGATGATGATGATGATGATGATGATGATGATGATGATGATGATGATGATGATGATGATGATGATGATGATGATGATGATGATGATGATGATGATGATGATGATGATGATGATGATGATGATGATGATGATGATGATGATGATGATGATGATGATGATGATGATGATGATGATGATGATGATGATGATGATGATGATGATGATGATGATGATGATGATGATGATGATGATGATGATGATGATGATGATGATGATGATGATGATGATGATGATGATGATGATGATGATGATGATGATGATGATGATGATGATGATGATGATGATGATGATGATGATGATGATGATGATGATGATGATGATGATGATGATGATGATGATGATAAGAATCAAGAAAGGAGTATGAAAATGTAGACAATCCGATGATAATCAGTGTGGATCAAAAGCTTAGGAAATCAAAAGTTACTTTGTACTCAGTGACGAAGTAAGTGGTTAACAAAGTCTGGACAAATGTAGTAAGTTTAGAGGTAGTTATCATCACGGACTGATATCAGTCATAGAACCATTGAAAACTTGAGAGTACTGGACACCTGTTTCGTACTAGTATGGGACTCCTCGTCAATACACACCCACGAACCCAACATGGATCTAACTCAGGACCTTCAAGTTTCATGGTGAAGGCATGGACCATTCAGCCATTGGGTGGGAGTTCAGTGGTTCACTGTCTCCAACGTTTGTCAATTCGTAACATAGCGTGACTTTCACCAAAGGTCTTCAATTGATATCCACTTCCTTTCCGACTGCCAGTTGACTCCACAGGTCACGGCTTCTCATTAGAACTTCATGATATCCATCTGGAAGCCTGTCACTGGTGAGCACCATGCAGTAATGTATTTTTGAGATTAATGTGTATCGTTGACGCGTTCGGCATGAAACCTGAAAGTCTTGAGTTCGATCCGTCAGTGGATCGTGTGTGTACTGCTGAGGAGTCCCATACTAGGACGAAACAGGTGTCCACTGTTCCCAGGTTTTCAATGGTTCTCTGACTATTGTCAGTGCATGATGACTACTACATCTAAATTGAAATCCCCATTCATCTCAAAGTAGTAGTGGGGAATAATAAAGGGGCAAGAAAAAATCTCAATGGTATAGGTGTTAAGTATTTCCTGACCAAGAGAGAGATAAGAGGTGTACAAACTTCTTCTGGATACAAAGACTAGGATTATTAGTTCAACTTCCCACAGCTTCTGCCATATGTAAGAGACGAGTTAGAATACCTTTCGAAAGATGAGATGGTATGCGGTGAATAATCGTGAAAGCATTTTTCTTATGTACCAAGTGACCACTATTAACGTGGTGAGATAAAACCGAAGTTCTGATGGATTTTGTCTATCCCTTTGGCAACCATGAAGATAGATGCTCATCAACAAGTGTGTTAAGTCGTCTAGTAGTACGCCCTATCTAGCTTTCTCCACAGGAGCAGCTAAACTTGTAAATACACATAGAAATGACAAAACTAGATACTAATGTTTTGTCTGGACAACAATAATTGGTCGACTGGAAAATGATAGACAGAGTTTTACAGAGTAGAAAATCCTCTAGATGTCTGTAGAGAGTCTCTGATTTGAAACTTCTCCAGTTACATCTCCATTTCATGAACAACAGTTTCTTTTGTACAGCAATAATTCCAGGTTTATTTCCCCTGACTTTGCCCATGTGTCTTTGTGTGAAACTGTTAGAGTAGCCCATTTCGACCAATGAATCATGAGTATATTCTAACTCCTTCTGTATTAAATCATTTGAACATATTCTTCTCGCTCTGTTATTGAGGCATTTAACCAGGTTTGCTTTGTGCTGGGTAGGTGAGTGACTAAGAAAATGTGTGTACTGACTCATAGATGTAGTCTTCCTGTAAACACACCTGCTGAGTGGACCATCTTCTCTTCTTCTTCTTCTTCTTCTTCTTCTTAGCAAAACATACAAGAAGTGTAGTCAACTGGCATTTTCTTCCTCACAGGTGATAATGAGTGAAGGGTGCACCTCATTAAATTTTCTCATCGCCTCGTTTGTATCCACATTTCGATCCAGGATAATGAATGTTTCGTCAATATTTCGGTGATACATAGTCGTCTCATTAACGACGTCTTTCAATGATCCGTTCTCCAATTTGGCAAGAAATATATCAGCTAAAATGAATGCAATTGGTGAACCCATATCTGTCCCATCAATCTGTCCATAATGTGAGCTATTAAAGACAAAATATACACTCATAGTACATCAAAGAAGGAACTGTTTGAAGATGTGCATTGGAATCTCGATGTTGATTTGCCTTTCCGATATTTGTTGACACACAAACTCTACGGTGTCCAGTAATGACAAACTAGTGGATAGTGATGAGATATCAAGTGACATTATATGTTTTCCGTTTACATTCACATTATTTGGCTTAGAAATAAATTCACTGTGGTTAACTAATTATTTGTGTAAAGGATGTAAAATCCTTACTAACCACTTAGTAACTGTGTGGTATGGAGAGTTAGACATATCCAAAACCAGACCCACTTTGATTATCATCGTATTGTCTACATGTTCATACTCCTTTCTTGATTCTTATGATCATCATCATCATCTGTATTGCAAGTGATTCAGTCAACGTTATCACTCTTATTATTTGTATTATTATCATGACCATTGTTGTTTTGAAACATTCATCACATTAATCGAGAAATCTACATGATTGGTTAAATTTTTATGTATATATCAAGGTATTTTTTATTAGAGTAAAGCGTGAATAGGATCTAATTACAAACAATACTGTTCACTAGTATATGTCTTGTTTTAATTTACAGATTAGATGAAAATGGAAATATGCTTGAATATGATGATTCGTTAAAATAAATGTTCCCAAAAAATAACTTGTAATATCCCGGAAATGAAGATTTTCAATCATATTTAAACAGTAGTTTTTGGATAGACAACAGTTCTGTAACATTCACATAACTGGAAATGAGAGTATGGTCAGCTATTTTTCCCCAAAAAAAACATATTTCACATGATTGTGCTTCTTTCCTAACTGTAAAGCTTACTTCATATAATGTGAATAACTTAAATGTTACTAGCTTCATCTTGCCTGCAGTGTATTGATCTTGTAATGAGTATCGTTGTTACGGCAAGATCAAGTAACCGCATGGCAAGATAATAGAAGCTGACTTTATGAAACAGCGTCCTGAAAATATGATTTACTTGATCTAAAAGATAACATTGTCTATGTAGTCAACACAGGCGATGAGGTTTCTTGAAAATTTATTTATTCGTTTTGCGTTGGATTCATTATGGACTGATGTCAGTTGGAGAACCGTCAAAAATCTGGGAGCACTGAACAGTTCTTTCACTCCAAATCGAGCCTAGAACCCTCAGGTTCCATGATGATCATGCTACCATCGAGCTACTGGGTCAGAATTTAATGTTCAACACTTTCCTACCTCTGTCAATTGACGATATAAGATGACCCCCATTTAAAGCCCTCGTTGAGTACCTGTCTTCATAGTTTGCTGTACCGATCACTACTTCTTATTAGAACTTTTGAAAATCCAGTTTCAAAGCATTTCACTAATTATCATTAGACAGTATTCCAATTTGGAGGAGAAGTCCTACACTGAAATCAGTAAAGGGATAACACAACATGAAGTCCATAGCAATGTCCTATAAGCAGCATATTGACTACACTTTGATTGGTAGCGAGGACTTAAGAATAGTATTGGTTATCACTTAGTGATTTATTCGTTTAATACATTTTCTTGTTCCTTCATAATAAGAAAACCTAACTACAAAACAATTAGATAAATGGTTGAAAATGGCATGAAAATAATCATGTTTACTCTAAATGCATATTTCAAAGGGTTACTAAGATCATATTTGTGTAAAGTAAACAACTTATCATTCAGATCAGATAGATTTAACTCAAAAATCAGTTCTTATCAAGATAATTGTGTTCTGCCTAATTACTACATAACCTGAATTCATTATCCTTGGAATAATTTATACTAACTAATTATCATTTCAAATGTTTCTCACTGTTTATATTTGATATGATGTTTCACTGTATTTACGCTTTACTTGGTTGTAAGTTGAAAACTGAATTTATTTCAAGTTGGTATTCATCGTAGACTGACATCAGTTGGAGGAACAATGGAAACCTGGCAGCACTGGATAGCTGTTTCGTCCTAGTATGGGACTCTTCAGCAGTGCGCACCTACGATCCTGCCAGGGATCGAAACCGCGACCTTCGGGTTCCATGATCAGCACATTACCACTGAGCCACTGGATCGGAGTCTAATGCTCCATATTTCTAACTTCTATCGGTTCACAACACAGCGCGACCGCCACCCAATATCATCGCTGAGTATTTGTCCTCATGAACATCAGGTTTGGCCCACAATGAATAGCAACTTGAAATATCTCTAAATCTCCACAAACCCTGAAAATTCAACTGAATTTATGCAAAAAACAGGCGTTTATACGAGTATATACCATCTTATATAATAACAATGGAAAGTGACAATTATTTTATTCGGTTTCTTTTTCCTTATACTAAAAATATAAATAAAAATCATCCTCGAAATTCTTCCTAAACAGTGAATGTTTTGAACAATCACTGATACCGTATAAAGTTATATAATGAATAAAACACGCAAAATCGTGAAGCGTTCCATATTTTTCACTATTAAACAACTCAGCTCAGAGAACACAATACAACCAAGACCATTCACTTGAGCTACAAATATTCTCCATTATAAAACTACCTATGTATTTCAACAGTCTTTTTTATTCATAATGTTTATTATATTGGTGTGTGACAGGTGCTGTGATTTGCTCTGTGATACTATGATTTATCGGCTTAGTGAATCGATTTTCAGCTAGTGTGTCACAGCTGGGCTTCATCTATTAGGATTCCGTCATTTACGTTTTATCTTTAGACTATAATATACAATGGGCATGACATAATACCTAGTGCATAAACTTTTACATGGTTACTAGTGTTTTAATATATTATGGCTTGAAACAGAAAAATAGGAAAGAATGTTTAGGCGGCTAGTCTCATTTGTCATAGTTTCATATTGTTCCATCGAACAATATCACTCACTGGGGTACAGGTACATCTAGCTGACGACTCCCAAACAGAATGAAATGAGCATCCTCGATTCCTCTGCTACCCACATCCCATCAAATTCACAACACTTATTACAGTTTGAGAACCTATTCAGAAATTTCTAGTGTCAGTCAATCTCTGTCTTAACAATATGTAAGATAACTAAGGTGTGTTAGTGTTGTCATGTGAAACAATTACAGCTTACGATGAGGTGACTCTTGAGAAAAGGTTATTTCTATGAAAAATTGATAATAACTTCGAAGAA